CCCTGCAAGCAGAAACCTGCATCATAAATGAATCCCAAAGTAAATTCATGGACTTCCTGAATAGCAGAACCAAAACAATCTGGATAATAAAATCAACCATTTGAATTGGCTTCTGATCTTTCATGAGTATCATGGCTCCATAAAATGGATGAACCAGATGTGCTTGGAACATCAATATTGTCCAATGGAACTCCATCTAGAGGAAGGCGGACAAAGTGAAGGATGCACTGTGCTTTGGATTTTGAGCCAACATGCTCAGCAACTTTGTTCCAGTTTTCATTGTACAGCTGCATTCCCTCGAGCAGCAGTAATGTTTCCTGGTCAGTCCAACTATCTCCATCCACATCTCCAAAAAGTTTCACGGAACTCTCCTTGACAAAATCCAGCATAGAATGACCAGCAACAAATCCTCCCTCGTGAAAACAATCCAGACACAGCCGCACATCAACCTGCCAAAGTGAAGGTTAAGCCACATACAGCATTGAATAGAATCCATTCGTCTTCTAAACCAAAAAGTATGCTATTTTTCTGTGTGTGTCTGACTTGTATGAGTCGTCAGCATCACCTCACTACTCCTAGCAATAAAATTCACTAATCAATGCTAAGTCTTTTGGCTGTAAGGACAATAAAGAAATATTATAGATACATCACTCCCAGGAAGTCAATCTATGACAACCTATTTTAGGCAAGTAAAATGCGACTTTTCTGTATGAAAATTCTGCAACCTGCTCAGACAGATTTAGTATAGATCCAACTACTGTCTAGGTGCGCCACACTCTCCATAAATCACAAATAATGTCATCGATACGAATGCTAAAACATGAAGATAAAAGAGCAATCTACCTACGTCCATCTAGCAATAAGGAAAGACAGGAAATAGATAATGAGTGGGGCACAATGTCTGAACAAAATTTCCATACACAATGAGTGGCATAAGTAAAAAGGCTAGGAAAAAAGAGCTAAAATCTAAATTACAACATTTACCTCCTTCTGCGACTGATAATACACACTAGGAATAGATCTAGAACAACAACTGCATTGATGCTCAGATAATTGCTCTCTGATAGTACTGTCAAAGTCAGAGTCCTCGTGTCGTTGAGATGCAAGTTCTGGATAAACATCGGTTGCCTTGAGCCTACATTTTGGCTTGTCAAACTTGATTAAGCTATCTATTGATTTCAAAGCAGCCAAAGGCACCCGAAGTTCACTATTTGAGTCCTCGCACAAGTACGTTCCATCCTTCTGGGACACATGCTTAAAAGGAGTTGCACAGTAGTTGATAATCCCCCAATGATCCAGAAACCTAACGATTCGAGTTAAATCATCATTATCAATACCAACTATTAGACCCTGGCAGTCAACAACTGACAGGTGCCTTTCAGGGTTCTCCATATACTTGGCAACCACAGAGTTCCGACACTCCATGTATTTTTCAGGAGTATGTTCAGCTGATTTCCCCGAGAAGAAGTGTGGCACTACTTGTCTCTCCAATCTATGTACTGTACTTGGCGAAAACCACTCTGTTTATATAAAATAAATCAGAACCAAGAGTCTTATTAGGTATATAATCCCAGTTCAGAAAGCATAGAGTAATACAGGATAAAAAATGGCTAGATGCCCGCATAGAGCGTAGAAGCAAATGAAAAGGGAACTAGAGAGAAACTAGAATGTCAGATACATAAGCTTCAAAAACTTCTGAGTACACAATACATTTTCAAATCTAGCTTGTTTAATCATGAGATAGAATCTGGAATACATCAAAAAATACATAGTAAACTAGTTTTTACACCCTAACTTCAATTGCACAAACTATAAACTATAACATATCCATCTGGTTATAAAGCACAAGTTAAGACAACGAATGTAAATCTTATTTGAAAAGTGAAACCAACCTGAATGTACTGGCACAACATGAAAGCGACCCGCACTGCCAAGCCTTTTAGAAACACCACGCCCCGCAACTATCCTAGGTGGCGTGATCACATACGAACCACCTGCAGTATCTTCCACGTTTGCCCCTAAAAGAGCTGGACTATCACGAGGCACAGCGGAAAGTGCCTGCAGCTGCCCATAAGAAATATTCTCCAACGCTGCCACGCCACCCTGACCCTGGCCTCTGCTATTCCCAATTCGTGCAGCCCTCTCAGCTTCCACAATTCGAAGGACTGAGGAGTGGGGCCAACTAACCTCCCTCTTAATTACAATTGGAAACTCACATATTCTTAATCCACCACTAACCAACTTTTCACCCTCCTTCTCTCCAGTTATATGGGTTGCCCGGTCAGCATTATGATTCTGGGAATCATCTTCAGGTTCCAGGTGATTTTGCTGTGGGTCCAGATCGACGTCGTCGTCATCCTCATTGTCCTCAAATGCATCATCATTATCTTGTTCTTTCAGTTTAGATTTACGTGTAGCTGGGTGGTCTCTTTTCCGCTTCCTCCACCTCGCTCTTGCCTCTTAAGAAGAGGTAAAAATAAAGGGAAAAAAGACAGAAAATACAAACAAACCAAGTTTTTTTAAGTTCATCTTCAAAATATGACTGAAATAAATAATCATTCTAATAAAACTAGTACTGCAATGTCAGATTTTGTCTCTGCATCTTAATGGAATTTCACATTTCGCTTGAAGCTTAAACCATTTAAAAAATATATACAAGCAACAACTTAGTGATCAACGTAAATCAAACACAAAAACCTAATTCTGATGTCAAATTAGATAAAGGGTCCATAAATTTGCACAAATACCTAATAAAACAAATCAAATTGCATCATCTTTGATTTCCCAAAGGGGCAACATCCACAAACTTTCTATATAATAAAATCAAAGACCTCAGATTGAATTCCATAAACGGGCTACGCGAATTAAAAAAAAAAAACGTAATAGGGTTCAGCATAATTCGAGAAATCATTCAGCAATTAACGCATAAAAAGACAAAGATTCATCAATCCGGAGTTGTCGACAACAAATCAGCCATATGCATGAGTATGCGCGGTAAATAAAAGGCCGAATTTTCAGGGTTTAAAAAGAGTTACCTGAGGAGGAAGCTGGCATTGCTCAACAGAAAAAAATGAGAGAGATTTATGGAGGGCTTGAGGTTTAAGGGGGGAGGAGGAGAGATTTGTGGGGTCTCTGTGATGGGTGAGGTGGAGAGCTGAGATTGCGGTGTGTGAAGTGTGTGTGTGTGTGTGTGGTGCGTGAGAGAGAAAGAGAAAGAGAGAGAAGAATTGGGGGAGGAGTTGGGAGTGTTTTTCTCTCTCTAGAACTGTAGTGTGTGCTTTGGGTTTGGGGTGGAGCAGCTTCTATTTTGGGGGAAATGTTTTTATTATTTTCTTTGGTGATTTTCTTTTATTTTCAATTATTGTTACAGCTGGTGGGTAGTAAATGAAATTCATTGGAGCCGCGTGAAATTACTTGCTTGGTCCCTCATCTTTCCCTTTATTATCATTTAGAACCTCTAACGTCCTATCTTTTGTCAATTCACTCCTTTCGTACGGTAATTTAAATATGGGCCAGTTGCGATCATTAGCCCATTACCATAATCTAATTTTGCTTGAGTTTCTTAATGGGCCATCTCATGCAATAGCGATTTCTTACTGGGCTTCGATATATGTAGCCCAATATATAACTTATAATCCAGTTATATTACATGATTAAATTTTGTTGAGTTAATCTTATTTAATTGTAATAATTTACTTGTTAAGGTAGTAGACTAGTAGTAGTAGTTTCCTACTAGTATTTTCATAATTAATAATCAAATCACACGTTCGGATAGAATTGCCTCTCACTGGGAGAGAAGAGAGTCTACTATGGTGCACGCATTGATTTGTTGTAGGGTTTTGCCCGAAGTTTGGAAAACGGAACTGATGCTGCTCAAATGCTATTTGGACAACCCAAAAGTCCTTGAGCCCACAAAGATAGAGAATGCCGTGAGTCATTGCCACGTGTCCGAGGTAGTCGCTAAATGTAACCTCTGAGTTTGGGTGGTGAACGTGGTAAATATGCTCCACTGGACGTTCTGTCGTGGAATACGAGCCTCTTGCTGCTCGCATTGATGCTCGTCGTGCGCTAGGAGTGTCACCGCTTGAGGGTCCTCCGGAAATAACTGCAATTATTCCTTGAGTCGGAAGATTGTCATCCTCCCGATATTTCCTAGGGTTGGGACGTTCTCCTTTCTGCTGGAAGCGGAGTTTATTTTGGAATTTTTGGTGCCGTGGCGCATCCACGAATTCTCTAAGGTGCCCTTTTTTAATTAGTCTCTCGATTTCTTGCTTTAGTTGAAAGCATTCGTCGGTAGTGTGTCCCCGATCTCGATGGTACTCGCAGTATTTTTCCGATTTTTGCCTTTTCGGATTTTCTTTCATCTGTCTCGGGGGCTGGACTAAACCTTTCTGCTCCGCTACCATCCAAACTTCCATGAGTTTCGCTTTTAGGGGAGTAAACTTTGGGTAGGTATGGGCGTGGATCGAACGTCCTTCTTCCTTCTTTTTTTGTCTCATGGCGCTCTTCTTCGCGCTTCCTTTTCACGGGAAGTCCCATCTCTACGGCCTCTTCTATCCGGATAAACTTCTCCGCTCGATTCAGAAGCTCCTCCAGAGTTTGCGGGGGTCGTCCTGCTATGGATTCTTGGAAGCGAACGTGCCTCAAGTTATGTTGCAGTATATCGGCTAGTAGGTCGTGGTTAACATTGGGTACCTCGTGCACAGCTTTGACGAACCGTTGTACGTAGTCTCTCAACGGTTCTCCTTCGCGTTGTTTGACTTTGAAGAGGTATGACCCGGTTTTGGCGTATCGCTTGTTGATGGAATACTGGCTAAAGAAACGTTCCGATAATTGGCCCAGGCCATCCAATGATCCTCAAGGCAGACCGTTGAACCAAGTTTGTGCTTGATCAGTTAAGGTAGTTTGGAAAATTTTGCAGTAAGCGGCATCACTGAGGCCGTAAAGGTCGATCTTAGCGAAGAAATTGTTAAGGTGAGTTTGAGGATCTCCGGTTCCATCGAACTGGGGCAGATTGGGGATCCTAAATCCGAGCGGTAAAACTTCCTCCATAATGGCCGGAATAAAGGGGCTTATTCGGGCGGGGAGTGTTCTAAATCGAGCGGCTGATCTTGAAATTTCTCGTCGTGGGCTTCTTGAATTACGTTTGTTACCATTTTCGCGGTGCCTTGTCGTTTCTTCAGTCTGAGAGTACTTACTCCCATGTTCGTCTTGTGGGGAGTTGCCTCGGCGAAAGGATCGTCCTCGACGTCTATCGTCTCGAGGCTCATGGCGTGTAACACTCGGCCGTGAGGATCCACTTCTTTCTCGGCGGCCTCGCGCCGCTCTCTCCCTTGGGGGATCCCGTTGCCTTAGGGGTCGTGGTGATCGACCATGCGTTTCTCTTCGAGGGGCCCGGTCCGAGGCCGAGCTATGCTGAAGCGACCGGGGCTGGGCATACCTTCGGGGAGCCCGTTGTGAAGAAAAGCTTCGGTCGCTAAGCGACACCCTTTCCTCAGAGTTGTGGAGTTCTACGATGGGCGGGGTTTCATGGACGTGAGCGGGCTCCGTGGGGTCGCTCTCTGAAAGACTCGGCTCCACGAAATCACTATGGCCTTGGGCACTAATGTACTGAGCTACTGCGTCCGCCGCCGCCCAAGCCGCTGCCTTGGCCGCGGTCTCGTCCATCATCGCTTGCAACTCCTCCGTCGTCATTTGGATGATCGGCGCTGAAGGTCCCGCCGTGTTGGTTGCTCCCCCCGTCCTCTTTCTTCGAGGCGGATCCGGGATCCCACCGCCGGCTCCTTGCTGAGGCGGATCGAGTTGCATTCCCACAGACGGCGCCAAAATGATGCTGCTCAAATGCTATTTGGACAACCCAAAAGTCCTTGAGCCCACAAAGATAGAGAATGTCGTGAGTCACTGCCACGTGTCCGAGGTAGTCGAAGGGACTGCTCCGTTCGTTAACCTACAAAACAATCGAAACACTAGATGACACGCCGGGTTTGGCCCGGCGATTATCCTCCGACGCTCAAGTCAGAAGATGTATTAATATAAGCAAATAATAGTAATTAATTGCCAAATTAGAGTGTACCTTCTTATGTGAAATGACACATACATTTATAGGTGGATGAATAGGTAGAACTTCTGTAAGAATCCGATGTGGGACAATGGTTGTCCTTTTTAAAGGTAAAAAGTAATCTAATACACACAATTAGATTAATTAGGACAATTTGGGCCTAATCTTAATTAGGTTTATGGGCCTAATTATGATTAGACACATCATTAGGAACCATTTGAACTGGATATGATGATCGAGACGGTTTCTTTCCAGTTTTGGTTTGACCGTTTGCGCAAGACTACCTCTTGAGAAAAGGTTTGCCTTGCTATGGTTATCTACTGGTCTGCGTGTGATTCGAGATATCGGGAAGCACATGGAGATACGTGTCTTCGAGGACGGGATTTGCGGAATTGGAGCGAGATTATCTCTCCACATTCAGGTCGGTTTATTTTGAACCCTCCATCGCAAAGAACCCAGCTTCACAGGTACATTGGACGCCGCCGCAGAAAGGAGTTGTGAAAGTTAACTTCGACGCCGCCTTTCCACCATCTCAGTCGCATTACAAGGTGGCCTGGCCCGAAATTTCGAGAGCACTACAATTTGGTGGAGCGTCGCCTCTTTGCCCGGACGGGTTCAACTAGTTGAAGGAGAGGCCCATGCCGCTCTTACAGCAATTCAGGGTGCTCGTGCACGGGGTTGGTCATCCGTTATTATCGAAGGAGACTGCCGTCAGCTCATCATGGCACTCCAAGATAAAAACTCTTTTATGTGTTCATTTGGTGCTTATATAGAAGACATTAGTAATCTTATTTTATCTTTCCTATCTTGTCGTTTTTCTTTCGTTCCTCGTTCTTGTAATAAGCTAACTCATGGAATCGCTTCATCCATGGAATTGGCCACTACTGAGGGTCTCTCCCTTCCTTCTCATTTGGCTACGTTAGTTTCTTTTAAAAAAAAAAAAAAACTAGTAGTAGTAGTTACAGCTATAGTTTTTGTGTAGACACAAATTAAAACCATAATAAATAATACAAGAAACTATCAAATTTACATTGTACTGGTTCAGATTTACAATGTACATTAATAAAACTTATTTACTATGTCGTTCTTGTACACAACTTAATCATTTTGTTTCTTCACACAACTCCTCTATTTGCATTTCCTTGAGTTTCTCAAAAGCTTCAGACTCCGCAGAATGCCCTAGCAAAACCCGAATACTTTGATAAATTTTTCTTCAATAAAAGCGCAAAGATTCTTCACCAGTTTGTTTGACTTATATAGACATAAATTAAGTACTGCAAACCCTAACTCGAACCTAAAAAAATCGAACGTAAGGAAATATACACAATTTGTACACTTAATTTAGATAAGGCCAACCAAGTTACGTAATCTAAATTAATTACATAAAAATAAAATAAAGTCCTAAATAATTAAAATTATACAAAATATGAAGTTTAAAAAAATTCCAAAATAATAATCCAAGTCCAACATTGTAAGTTGGTAGATGTAATGTAACAATAGTGCGGGACTAGCAATAGTTGCTATCATTTGCATTCGGCCCCAATTAGATGGTCCTCAATTTAAAACCCACCACCACCACCACCACCACCACCACCGGCCCACCACCTTATTCCCGGCCAGATAGATCTGTGTTATGTGGGCCCACCCTCAATTCAAAAAAATGAAAAAAAAGGAAAAAAATAAAAATACAGATGCCATTTCAAAAGTCCCACTCATTCGTCTAATTTTCGATTTTGGAAGCCTCCGAGCGCCAAAAACACACCCACCACGTGACTCCCGATGTCCGCCACCCGCCGCTCCACCGTCTCCCCCTTCCGCTCACGGAAAACGCCTCCTCCTCCGCCCAGCATTTCCGTCCGCACCGCCACTCCATCACACTCATCGGCGCCATTTTCTAAACAACCAGCTGTGCCGCCTCCGACTACGCCTACCGGCAAAACTAAAGAAAATGTTACTGTTACCGTACGATTTCGTCCTCTCAGGTGAAATCGGTCTCCATTTTTTGTGGATTTATGATGCGAATTCACCACATTTGGAACTCACTTAGGCTTTTCCACAAAAAAAAAAATAGTTTTATAGCTTGTGGAGCCAAGGGATTAAGTTTTAAATTTATGTTTTTTGGTGCAGTTCTAGGGAGATTAAGAAAGGCGACGAAGTGGCTTGGTATGCGGATGGAGACTACTCCGTGCGCAATGAGTTCAATTCTGATATTGAATACGGATTCGGTTAGTATCTGTTTTCTGGACTCACACACTAAAACACTTTATGTGTGCGCAAAAATGATAAACAATGTTAATGTGCTAGTAATTAACATGTCAGTTGACGATTGAACGAATTTAAGCTAAGTTGAACTCTGATATTGCATGGGCTTTGCGTTTCAACTGATGTAAACCTATATGGGTTAATGCAATTTGTTTAATTGCCGGTTTCTGCTTATGAAAACATAACGTTTCTTAGAAACTGATAAAGCAGGAGGAATAAAATTCAAGATAGATATCTTACCTATATTTTTTTTTTCTTTTTAAACAAATCTAAGAGTTACTTTTGAATGATAGTGAAGTGAGAGCTTTGGAGTGCAAATGGAAATTGAGTCGGTAACTGACACTGACTAACATGTTCATCTATTTAGCTGTTGTAGTGTGCAATTGTGGGGATTAAATTTGAGTTTCTGTTTGTAGAGCCACCTTATATATATGACCTGTTTTTTTCTGTGTTCATTTTTATCTTAATTATGTAAGTAAAATTACTTTTGATTACCAGACAGAGTATTTGGTCCTGCAACAACTACTCGCCATGTTTATGATGTTGCAGCGCAGCATGTTGTGGGTGGTTCCATGAAAGGACTTAACGGTAATTACTCTCGTCACATTTACTTTTTGTGAAGTAGTTCAATTTTTGTAGTTAATAACAGAATGCTAATCAAACTTCTTTTACACAGCGCTACTTATATTCACACAATAGTTATTTGTGTTCGTATCCATCAAAAGAACTGTGGCTTCTTTCACCTCCCTGTCTTACATGTTCATCTCTATCTGATTTTGACTTCCATGTTTCTATTAAATTCGGATGTTCTCGTGGTTGTTGACTCGGGTTTCCTTTTTCTATTTTCTCCGTCTTTGTAGGCACAGTATTCGCATATGGTGTCACTAGCAGTGGAAAGACACATACGATGCATGTAATTTCTAAATTCTCAGGCTACCTGAGCATATTGTACAATGGCTGGAGATTCATAGAGCATATGGGCTGCAAGCTCTCTGATTTCCTTTTTTTTTTGTCTTCCTTTAAAATGCCTTGCTGTAGATGCATGAATAATGCCAAGTTTTTATTGAGGATAGTTGGGATATTAGACTTGACTAGCTCATCATCTTCAATTCTTTTGCCCTTGATACTTATTTTATAAATTAATTGATCTTTTCTCTCAGGGGGAGCAAAAATCACCTGGAATCATTCCGCTGGCTGTTAAGGATGTATTTGGAATTATACAAGAGGTAATTCATATCACCTTTAGGTGAACTAGGCAAGAACGATAGATAGCTATTTCCTTAATAGTAGTCTTTTGATCAAAATGTTGAATGACCTTTGAATCCTGTATCAGACTCCTGGGCGGGAATTTCTCCTTCGAGTTTCATATCTGGAAATATATAACGAGGTTAGTTTTAATATTTGGCACGATGAACGCATTTATATATTTTATTTGAATTTCTGCTTATTTTGATCAAAGCTACCCGAAATGCTTTAATACTTGTCTTCTTTGTGTCTTTAGTACTTGGGATATCTTGCTAGTCATGATAAATGTAATTTTTTAACTGTAAGAAGAATGTCCATACTGTTAAACTTCTGTTACTTGGTAGAAACATGATTCATTTCTCTTGGTCAATGATGTTGTTAAAATCAAAATGCATGGTAGATGCTATGAAATGTTGCAGGTTTGTACTTACGTTTGTCAAATATTTGCTTCTGATTCTTATGTATGGCTTTCTCCTTGTAAGTTTAGGTCATCAATGACTTGCTTGATCCCACCGGACAGAATCTTAAGATACGAGAGGACGGTCAGGTACATATACACAGCCAGTGGTTTCAATTTCATGACTAGTGCTTGGTTTTAACACTTCTTATTGGTCAGGAATATCTCCATATGCATTTCCTACCCTTTGTGTTATGTCAAAACAAGCGCCAGACAATTAGTTTGAAGGCCAATGGATTTCTAGTATTTATGTGCTTTATTTTTTTCTTTAATTTGACTTTTTTTTGGCAACCAAGAAAATGGGGAAGATCTTGACATGTGAACAAGATGACTTTTATTGCCTTTTTATGTTATAACTCCACACAAACTTGTAGTTTCATCTTAATTTGGATGCAATGTGATATCTTAACTAGATGTATAAGTCATCAGTGAATTTGAGGAATAATAAATTTAAACTTGGTAGGGCATATATGTCGAGGGAATAAAAGAAGAGGTTGTTCTGTCACCTGCTCACGCCCTTTCGCTAATAGCATCTGGTGAAGGTAAGTTTGTCTGTGATTTCATGACTCCTGAATCCAAGTATTTGTAAATCTTTATGAAATCATACTGATTACTTTTTACAGCGGTCGTGTTTCTTCATTTATTTTTCTAAAATATAAAACATGATTATGTCTCACATTTCATCTCTACTTTCATCCGCGTTGGCAACTCACTATGTTTTTGCCGATATGAAGGCATCTCCTCTTGAATATTTTCATTGTATGGTTTAGAACACTCTTAATTTGCTTCGAAATATTGATGCAGAGCATAGGCATGTGGGTTCTAATAACTTCAATCTACTCAGCAGTCGAAGCCACACTATATTCACTTTGGTATTACAGCTCTATTATCCTTTAATGTTTTGTGTTTTTAAATTTACCCCTTGCTCTGTAACGCTTTCTTACTGACAGACAATTGAAAGCAGTCCACGTGGGGAAAATGAAGGAGAGGATGTAACTTTGTCACAACTGGTATGATGTGTATATGTTATTTATGGTGTTATCTTTATTTTGGTTCCTCTAGTCGATACTCCCTATAAATTTCTGTTAGCATTTTCAGTGTATAATTAAGTCGATTTGACATCCATTAGTTGTTAATTTATTGCCCCTTTCCCCTTCTTCTCAGTTACTTAGCAGTGAGTTTACTGTTTGTGTGGCCTTATGTCTCTAAATTGTCCCCTTATATCATAGATGTATGATTTTTGGGTTTACAATACTAAATTCTTTTATAGCATTTAATTGACTTGGCAGGTTCTGAAAGTTCCAAAACAGGGACGACTGGATTGAGGAGAACAGAGGGTTCATACATAAATAAAAGTTTACTTACTCTTGGCACTGTAAGATAACAGCCTATGTCTTTCTGTTCCATTATTATGTTTGAATATTAATTCTAACATAAAATTTGATTTCTACGGTCTCATTTTTATTTTCATTGTTTTAGAAAATTCATATATACAAAAAAGGATTTCCGCATATTTTTCACATTATTTTCTGTTTAATCTTAGGTGATATCCAAATTAACAGATGGAAAATCCACTCATATACCGTATCGAGATTCAAAACTTACACGCTTGTTGCAGTCATCTCTTAGTGGCCACGGTCGAGTCTCCGTAAGTTTTAGTGCATAAAGTTTGTTAATCTAGAGAGACATCCTAATCCATGTAATATTTCGTTATTCATACTGCTTGAGGAGTATTCCATTTCTTCCTTGATTCTACTGCAGCTTATATGTACAGTAACACCAGCCTCTAGCAATACCGAAGAGACACACAACACTCTTAAGTTTGCTCATCGTAGTAAGCATGTCGAAATCAAAGCCTCTCAAAATAAGGTGAAATATATGGAATTATAAATTATTGAAGTAATAAGATAGATACCCCGCAAATCTTTCAAAGCTCTTGTTTATCTTTCTTTGTTTTTTTCCTGGACAGATTTTGGATGAGAAGTCTCTGATAAAAAAATATCAGAAAGAAATATCCAGTTTAAAGCAAGAGCTTCAGCAACTAAAGCGTGGCATGATGGAAAAAGAAAATTCAGTGGCACCTAGCCAAGAAGAATTAGTTAATTTAAAGCTCCAGGTTGGTGCCTACAATCTGTATCGTATGCATGTGAACTTGTGAATACAACGAGTATTTTATCACTGTCAGTTACTTCCTTCTCTTGATTCTGGCCGTGTGAATACAACGAGTATTTCATCACTGTGTCATTATACATTTGATGCTTCATATGATATAGCGGAGATTCTGAAGTTAAGAAGAATTTTTTTCTAGATAGGCTTAACATTTCTTATTAATTTAAATGGAGATTGATGATATCATCAATTCTACTATTCTAATGCGTAGGATGCTTATTCACATCCTGCAGTTTGAGGCAGGGCAAATTAAGTTGCAATCAAGATTGGAAGAGGAGGAACAAGCCAAAGCTGCTTTGATGGGAAGGATTCAGAGACTAACGAAGCTGATCTTGGTTTCGACCAAAACTGCTATCCAGCCAAGTATCCTTGAAAATCCCAGCCACAGGCGGAGGCATTCATTCGGGGAAGATGAGGTACTGACACAGATTTATTATATTGATATGATGATTTGTTACTTTGCCATTGAATTGTATGACTACATTTCCAAAGACCGGGATCATGTATTATTACCATTCCAAGGTTAAGTCCGTCTTTCTCATTAGCATTTGTCTTCCTTGCATATGCAGCTTGCATACTTGCCAGATAGAAAACGGGAATGCGTAATTGAGGATGATGTTGGAAGTATTGATTCTGAAATTTCTCGGGATGGAAAGAGTGATGCCACAAATCTTGATGAGATAGTCGGGGATTACAAAAGAAACAGGAGGAAAGGAATGCTTGGCTGGTTCAAACTGAAAGTAAATTTTGATGTTGCTTTTTTCGCTTCTCGATCTTCTAATTGGTGTTGATGGACCTGCCATATGAATGTTGGAGTATGGTTTTTTTTTTCGTTTTCAAATCCAGATTAAGAACAAGTCTTCTTCTTAACATTTTGGGTGCAGAGGCCTGAGAGTGTGATCACCTCATCATCATGTGCTGATTATGGGAGTTCTGCAAGTGGTTCACCTGCTTCCTCAGCAAAATCATCCCAATGCAAAGTTACATTTGGTGATATGAAAGATGCACATAGGACATCAGTTGGTAGAAAAGTAGACGATGCTTCTCCGACAGGTTCTTTTCCTGAAAGAACTCAAGCAGGTGATTTGTTCAGCGCAGCTGTTGGTGTGCGGCGTCTTCCACCGGTGAGAAATAGTTTGATTTTCTTTCTGCATGTTGATAATGCACATGCCTTTACTTCATCCAGATTATTCCCTGTTTCTTATCTCTAGATTTGTCAATGATAGTACGATGCATAGATGGTCCTGGAACCATGTGTTATGTTTATTTTACAACACACCTAAACAGAATATCTTCCAAAATTAGGTTCCATCCCTGTAAAACATATCCATATATGTAAATTCTCGCAAAAAATGTAACCAAATAACATGAGTTTGAGCTTATAATCATGCTCCAGCATTGGCTTGAATTATTTCTCTGAACTTGAACCCTAAATGTTTTGTAGACTGGGAACACCATCACCGATCAAATGGATCTTTTCCGTGAACAAATAAAGATGTTAGCGGGAGAGGTGGCTTTATCTACTAGTTCTCTGAAAAGATTATCAGAGCAAGCATCCAATTATCCTGGAGATTCCAAACTTCAGGTTAGTTTCGATTTTTAATTGAGCATGTCTCGGTAAAAGAAATTAATCAAGAATTATGCTTCATGGTTATGTGCAATAGGAAAAGATTAAAAAATTGAAGGATGAAATAAAAGAAAAGAAGCTTCAAATGCGAATTCTAGAGCAACGAATGATTGGGTCAGTGGAGAAATCTCCGTATGGTTCAAGCCTTGATGAAATGTCCCAGGTAAGCTTCTCAAACATCCTATCACTTCCACTTTGAACCTTGTTGCTTATTTCTGTTGTATCTTCATGTGGCCGTCACACAGGCCTTGTCCAGGCTGGCTACCCAGCTAAATGAAAAAACTTTTGAACTTGAGGTATGCTCAACCCTTTAATGATTAATCCGTCCATCGGAAAAAAGTGACTGACATGGTAATTTTATTCATGATCGGAACAGATCAAATCAGCAGATAACAGGGTCCTCCAGGAGCAACTACGTGGAAAGGTAAACGCCATTGCTCATTTGTTTTGTGCTTTTACTATTATCTTACCATGTGATGACATATTATCTGTTATTAGACACTGGAGAATACCGATATGCAAAACACCATCAATATTTTAAGGCAACAGCTTGATTCCTTGATGTCGAATAAGAATTCAAGTGCTGATAGTATGACTAGGATCGACAGCTCCGAAGAATCCTCAGAAATTATGAGTCAAAGAGGGTGCGAGATTAATTCATTTGAAGAAACATCTCTGGACGAAAACACACCAACTAGCGTTGGAAGCATGAATAGCCACGAGCATGCTAAAGATAGTAGTGGTGATACCTTTTCAACGTCTCAGATTCATTTACATGTATGTACTCTGCATTTGAGTGTGTGTCCTTTCTGTTCATTTTGTGTAGGAACTATATATTGTCTGGTTTGTTGTTGTTCTTTACATGATTAGTGATCTTAGCCTCAGATTCTGACGCATTCCTTCTCATACTCAGGTAGCTGAGATAGAGTCGTTGAAGCAAGACAAGGTAAGACTTGTCCAAGAGAATGATGGACTAGAAATTCACTGCCAAAAGCAAATCGAGGAAGCTTCTTATGCAAAAGAGTTAGCTGCTGCAGCAGCAGTTGAGCTCCGGAACTTGGCTGAAGAGGTAACAAAACTTTCCTATCAAAACGCCAAACTCAACGCTGATCTGGCAGCTGCAAAAAATACCCGTTGTGAAGCAAACTGCTGCCAAAAGTCCGCTTCAATTGATTCGAGGCAGAACAGAATCCACAGTAGCCGATCTGATCTACGATTTAGAAGGCCTGACGATAGATTATTATCTAAGGAGGAGATTGATCTAGAATTGAATGCAAGATACCATAGAGAAGCCTCTTTGGTTGCTGCTTTGTCCGAAAGAGATAAAATAGAAGCCGATTTGAGAAAGAGACTTGATGAAGCAAAGAGGCATGAACAAAAATTGGAAAATGACAAATCGAATGCCTCGGACACCAAAGTTTCGAATGGATTTCCGTTATCTTATAGTCAGCTAAGAACGAGATTCCTTGAGAATGAGGGAATCGGAACCCCTGAAGAAATAGAGGAGCTGAGAGCAGCATTTCTAGCTGAAAATAGAACGATCAGAGTCAAGGTAAGTAATTTCATCACTTGCTTACATCAGTATGCCATTAGTCCAAATTTTAAGGAGCGACGGGATTTTCTTGAATAATATCCTCGTAACATGCAGGGCTCAAATCGTCTTTTATAATGTTTCCACATTAAGTTTTCGGGAATTTTGGCACCAAAATCGACTACTTTCTCGAAGCAGGAGAACCTGTGATTTTGCCTCCAAGGATTGGAAGCAGTAGCAATTTGCTCGGACCACATGTAAGAATTCACCATCCAAAGAGAATGTTTTCTGCTTTTGTATATGCCACTGATAACTGGTAATTATATGCTCTAACTTATGTTTAGAGTTAATTTATGGACACTGTCCCAACTACATTATTATTAATATTCTGACAAATGTTCCCTGTTCTTGTAAGATAATGCATATATTTTTGTAGTTACTACCTGCTAGAACCTTTCAATTACCCCCCTCTAAAATGCTCAAAAACATTTTTTTTAAAGCAGGTCAAAATTTGGTAACAAAAATAATTATTATTAAACCCCTCTAAAATGATACACCTTACCATACCCCCCTAGGGTTTTGTCTCAGAAATGAACTATTTTATTAGGCCACATGTGCAGGGGTAAAACGGGGTATGTTAAAGAATATTCCAAGAATCTAACAGATTTTGTTTAGTTTAACACCGGGTGCATATGAAAGATGACTATAAAATATAGGGATATGAATATAATTTTGAAAAATAGAGGGGTTTGTTTTTGTAATTATACCTTACCTCAGGGGTGATATGACTAAAATACCCTTAAAATACAACATAACAAAATAGAATCAGATGAGGCAAACCAATATATAAAGTTTTAGCTTATACGATTGCATAATAGTAACAATACAATGAGATCCATGAACAAATGGAAGCCATTCAATACTTATTACTACTACAGAAAAGCATTCATCCATTTAAATATAAAATAATAAAATCAAATATACTATATTCACCAACCAAGCAAAGCTCGAAGAATCTCAATTATATTCCCTTTCACAAGTGCCTTGAGCAATTGCAATTTCCAAGGAGCGTAAGGCGGATATCTAGCCGAAACCTCTCCACCGAAACCTCGTCTTAAGACAGCCTTTTTGTGACTAAAAGCATCGAACGAGAATTTACCATGGTAAGATCCCATCCCACTTTCTCCTACACCCCCAAACGGCAAACCTACTTCCATAAACTGCACCGAATAACTTACTCGTTAAAAATCTCACAATGCGTGACACTAAATTGAGTCATATGATGTTGTCACTTTATACTATGCATGGGACAAAATCGAAACTTTTCTACTTTTGTATCGGTAATAATAAACGACTTACATGCAGAGCAGTCTCGTTAATGGCGATAGCTCCTGCAGAGACGCTTCTTACGAACTCCTCCTTGAGCGTTTTGTCGTTTGTAAAGAGATATGCAGCAAGTGGCTTCCCTTTAGCATTAATCGCTCCAAAACTATCCTCGATTTTGTTAACCTTCACAAAGAAGGAGAAATATTGAAGACTCTTATATCTAGTAAAGTTTTGCTCAATTGAAAACAAGATTGTTTATTTATTTATATTTTTTACCGTTACAATGGGAAGTAAAGGACCGAAAATTTCTTCGTTCATGATCAGAGAATCTTCTTCGACGTCCAATAAAATAGTGGGAGCAATCTTACTGCAGAGTTGGATAGAAAAATAAAATAAACATCGCAATTGTACTTTACTGCAGAAGAAAAACGAGTGCGACTTACAGATTGGTTTTATCCCGTTGACCTCCATGAACAATTTTACCAGAAACCTTTTCATCGTCCATTAATTTTTCCAAGCGGTCGAAATGATGAATGTTTACAATTCTCGATAAATCGTTCGATCCAAGAGGATCTTTTCCATAGAATTTCTCAAGCTCAGCTGCGAGAGCATCTACCTGAAATGTCGTCCCGTCATTCGACATATATTACACGAACAAGCATTTGCACATAACACAAACGCACGCATTTTCTTACCACTTTTGGAGCATACTCTTTGGTAGTTAATATATAATCGGGGGAAATACAAGTTTGTCCATTGTTACATCCCCACTTGCCTGAAATTATTCGTCTTGCTGTCACCTATTAAAATTCGGAACAAACTTAAATTCATTTTTGTTTTAGGCACAACTTTAAATAATAATAAAAAAAAAAAATCGAAGATTTTACTTTCAAGTTGATATTTGCATCAACCACGGCAGGACATTTCCCACCAAGCTCCAAAATTACAGGAGTAAGATGCTTCGCAGCAGCAGCTAATACAATACGTGCCACTCTGCCATTCCCTGTCGAGTTAATTACGCTCAACAATTAATATCATACTTTATAATATGTTTCAATAAATAAATAAAAAAATCAAGAAATGATTTGTATAAATCGACTATTTAATGTACCTGTATACATTATTTTATCCCATTTTTGGGCCAGCAATTCGGTGGTTTCACGCACAGCACCCTCGATAACTTTGACAGCAGAGGTATCAAGGTACTCTCCAAGAAGTTTGGAAAGCAATGCTGACGTGGCGGGGGCGACCTCCGATGGCTTTAATACTACAGCATTACCAGCTGCAATAGCTCCAATCACTGGATCCACCGCTATCACTTTTTTTACGGGATGCAACAAAAAAAATAAAATTACTTGTGATCGATAAATTTAACATGTGAACGAAACTAAGAATTAGGATAAAAAAAAAAAATATTACAGAAAGGATAGTTCCATGTTGATATAACTAATACAACACCCAACGGCTCCGGCACTATTTCGCCTGATGACGGAAAAGTAAGCATTCCGGTTTTCACCTGCAAACAATTTAATTCCTTTTACATTTACAATATATAATAAAAAAAACGTACGAAAATGTGTGGATATGAATATTACTTTTTGTGGTTTCATCCATCGCCGTAATTCCTTCAATGCCAATTTGCACGACGATGCTACCGAAAAAATCTACACCAGAAAAAAATATACCAACTGGCATTTAAATAATGCAAGAAAAAAGAGTTCCCTTTTAATAATACACTTTCGATTTCCAATACCAAATTAGATGCTACACCTGTTTATTTACGATGCTACACCTGTTTATTTACGCACGGTGGTATTCAACCGTAGATTTGATTAAATAAATAGATCGATCTATGGTTTAAATTCACTCGGTATAAATAACCAGGCGTAGCATCTAGTAATTAACGAGTTTACAATAATTGAGCAGATGAAACAGAAACAGACAAAAATCTAGATTGAGACAAATGACCTCATGAATAAAAGCTTCATGTTCGGGTTTATTTAGGTCAGAACGTAAAGCTTCGATAATTTCGTTTTCGTGATGAGTTACTATTTTCAGAATCGCTTTCAACTGCGAAATCCGCCACTCGTAACTCTTCGTCTTGCCGCTGCTCACGGTGGATCTCAGCTCCTTCACCGCCGCCTCCGCCATATTTTCCATCTATTCTCCAAACCCCCTACTTTACTAATTCATACAATATTGTATATGTCGGTGTGTATATATATATATATTATCGAAATCTATGTGTTTTTTGTAGCCGAATTCCGCGGATTTATCTACTCGTTTAAAACGTGCGTAATCGTTTCCACTAATCCGATTCGTAAATCGTAAAGAAAAAAAAAAAACAATTGGATCGATCAAAATCAAATCACCGCTGCCGTAAGGAAAAAGTAATTAGATGTGTTTTTATTTTTCTATTCTCTTTTTAAATAAAAATAAAATAGATGTATTTAAATAATTTGAATTAAAAATAAAAATATCAGATTAAACCTTTGACAAATAGAATTTATTTATATCAATAAAACTTAACACATAATATATATATATATATATATATATATATATATATATATATATATATATATATATATCATGCAGTCCAAAGTTTATAGATATATATATATATATATATATATATATAAAAAAAAAAAAATGAAAGATATGAGCATGACCTCCTGAAAAGAAGTTTCAGTTTGTGGTTTGCAGAGATCAGAATGTACAGCTTCAACAATTTCATTTTCATGGTGGGTAACTATTTTGAGAAGGGCTTCCAACTGTGAAATCCGCCACTCGTAACTCTTTGTCTTGCCGCTGCTGTAGGTGTTTCTCAGCTCCTTCACCGCCGCTTCCACATCCACCGCCGCCATATATATCACCTCTTCTTAATATTGTTATATGTATATGTATACTCTGGTTTTATATTTGTACTGTTCGATCATGTGCTTATGTATAGTACGAGTGTATGACCAATTTTCTTAATAAGTATGCAATTTTATTTTATTCACATTTGGACAAATAAGATAGATCCCTAACATTCCAAATAAGATAGAACCAATTAGACTTGTTTTCTTGCTGTCTTCCTTTAATTTTCTCATTTAGCACTTAAACTAATTCAAAACATAATAAATAGTACCTAACTTCGAAGTATATGTATACCTTAAATACCTAATATTTTTTTGGGTTAATAAGATATAACCCCCTCATTAGAAAAAATATTAAGACTAACCACCTTACAATATTTTTAATGGGTCAAACCCCCTCATAAATGTCAATTACTGAACTACCCCTATAATTTGTAATAGCAAAGACCCCCCCCACCGTTTTCCCCAAAAGCTGCATATCTTCAACCATTTTCTTCAATATAATTTCTCTCTCATTTCCGTTGGTTTGCTATATTTATGCCGAGAAAATCGCCCAAAAAACAAACTGCAATATATATCGGATCTTTTCCCCTTTCGGACATTGCCCTAGTTTGCTACATATCTTCAGAGAAAAAAAAAACCAGAATACCATTATTGTGCAATTCGTTCAGCAACACAGGTTGACAAACAATGGTGAAGAACGGCAAGAAGAAGAACAGGTAGTTTCCTATACACCCATCTCTATCACCGACTTCTATTAACCTAATTTTGTGCATTTACCCCATAATTTCTCTTTCTGACACCATTATTAGCGACTCCGGACGACAAATCGAAGACTCCTACAGATCCGTATGCAACAGTACGCGACGACCATATGCGACGGTTCGGAATTCTTCCATGGTTGATTATTCAAAAATGGAGTTTGTAAACAAGCTTGTTTTTTAGATCTACAGATCTATAGTCGCACTATTTGTTGACTCATAAATATTTTTTCGTATGAAATTTGTTTTATCAGAGTCCACAACAAAGAAGAGATCATTGTTGTCGAAAAACTTAAAAATTTACAGTCATATATCCGAGTCAACTATAAAATCGGATAGTCCACTATATTTTTTCCAGAGTCAACTATAAAAATTAGATAGTTAACTATAATTTTTACGATGTCAACTATAAAAAATTGGTAGTTAACTATATTGTTGCCAGAGTCAACTATAAAATAAGATAGTTCACTATGTTTTTTCCAGAGTCAACTATAAAAATTAGATAGTTAACTATAATTTTTACGATGTCAACTATAAAAAAATGGTAGTTAACTATATTGTTGCCAGAGTCAACTACAAAAATTGGATAGTCAACTACAATTGTTCCGATGTCAACTATAAAAAATTGGTATCAACTATAGTTTTCCATTAATTCACTATATTATATTTCAATTTAAGATACTATGGTGTTATAAAATGAGATGAGATGTAGAAGAAAAGATAAAGTATTGAGAAGATATAGAGAAACTAAAGAGAAAAAATGTAACAGACGGGAACAGAGGAAATGAGGGAAGAGAAAGGAGAGAGAGAGAGAGAGAAATGAGAGAGGAGAGGAAATTGTGGAAGAGAGAGAATAGAGAGAAGAGAGGAGAGAGGAGAGAGAAGAGAGGAAATTGTGGAAGAGAGAGAAGAGAGGAGAGAGGAGAAAGAACGGGAACAGAGGAAATGAGGGAAGAGAAAGAAGAGAGAGAGAAGAGAGGAAATTGTGGAAGAGAGAGAATAGAGAGGAGAGAGGAGAGAGAAGAGAGGAAATTGTGGAAGAGAGAGGAGAGAGGAGAGAGAAGAGAGGAAATTGTGGAAGAGAGAGGAGAGAGGAGAGAGAAGAAAAATAATAAATGAACAACACGTCAAAAATGACGGTTGAGAAGAGAGGGGGAAGAGAGAGAAAGAGTGAGGGAAGAAAGGACAAAATTGGAATAATAAACACGTGAGGGGGGTCTCACAATTCCTAATGTTAATTTTAGATTTCTTTACAAATGGTAAATATTGAAATGGGCCTGGACTCTATTATTTTGTGTACTGAGGGGGTTATCCCTCATTTTCCCTATTTTTTTTCTAAGAATTACTTTTAGTACCGATTTTGCTCAATAAAATTCGAATGTCAAGCAATAGTCTCAAATCTCCATGCAAAGTAGAATTCTTCGCTCCAACCTACAAACCGAGGCAAACATTAGGTGACTTAACCAGGTTGCCCGACGATTAACCTTTGACGATCAAGTTGTCGAGTAGAAAGATGTCCAAATTGTCGAAGAAATTAAACCAACATCAAATGAATCACAAAGTCTAGTATTTATAAGCATCTTCAATAGACTTTTCACTTGTTGGGCTTCAATTGGGCTTTCTTTTGTAGTGTAATAATTGTAATCAAGCCTCATAGCCCATAATAACGAATTTGAACCTAATTTTTGTATTCCAAAAAAAACAATAATTGGGACTGTAAATTAATTATTTTAGAATTGATTAGAATTAAGGTTTTTTTATTAAATAAAATAATTTCATACGCAAATAATAAAATGCAAATCAATTACTAAAATACCCATCAACAGCTTTATGGCCCAAATTCTGCTAGTTCAATGTAGAGCTTTGCAGCCCATGTTTTAGGCCCAATAAGTTCAATTCTGTATTCCTTGAGGCACCGAGTCTCCGATTCAAGTGTTGAAAACCCATCCAAAATACTCGTCGATTTCCATTTTCTCATCACCGCCGGCGACAAAATTCTTCATCGGTTGCTCACCGGTACGCTTCTCTCTTTCCTTTCTCCTTTCTGTATTCGATTTCTCTCTTTAAGATATCAATCAATCGCCTGTGAACGTAGTCATGAACGCCGGATCCGAACCCGGATCTGTATTCGGATTCGCCTCCCGTAATTTTGGAGCCGGTGTGATGTGTGATTTAATCGATTTAGTCGTTACTCTCCGTCGAACGTTTTCGAAGGACTGCGTATTTCCATTTCTATTGCATCTTAAACTGTGTGGATGGAATGGCGATATTCACAATTCATGTATATGTGTATTTTGATCTGAATTGGTTCCGATGTTTTTTTTTTGGCATAGATATAAATTTCATTTGGCTTTTGAGGATCAAAACTTGTAAATTTTACAAATTGGTGTTAGCTTACTTAGACACGAAGAAATTATAGTTATTAAATTCTGCAAGTGAAATTAGACATTGAGTTTAGAGTTTCCACTTTCAATGTTAGATTTATGTTGTTTCTTCCTTTGATAAGTAAAGTGACAATCTCCAGATCTCGACTAGCATTTACTTGTGCTGAAACACCTCGTAGCGAGTTTGTGATTGCTTGATATTTTTTCGCAGTTTTTCGTTGTTAAATTCTTTTTCCTCAATTTCTTCACGAATCCTTTTCTCCATCATCACTGTGTTTATTATTGTTCTTCCAGTTATTTTTTGATTCTCCCGACAATGTATGATAATCTTGGAGCACAGCCTGGTATGCCTCGGCCACCTAATGCTCAGCCAAATCCTTTTGGGAACTCGTTCTACGGTGCTAGTTCGGGATTCATTAAAGGTGGACTGGGTGCTTATGGAGAGAAAATTTTGGGATCTAGCTCTGAGTACGTGCAAAGTAATGTAAGTAGCCTCTCTTATGTTCTTATACCTCACTGACATCGCTAAAGCATTATTTACAGTGGGATTTAAGCATTTTAATTATAATATATATTTGTTATCTGTTTCATTGTTTCGAAAACAGATCAGCAGATACTTTTCTGACCCGCAATACTATTTCCAAGTCAATGATCAGTATGTGAGGAATAAACTGAAGGTTGTTCTTTTCCCATTTCTCCACAGGGTAATATTTCCTCTATGTTGTTTTTCAGTTCACTTGTTTTATGTTAGCTCCGCTTCTTTGCGATTATGTTATTCATTTAAGCCTCGTTTGGGAATCATGATAGGATTTCATAGACGATATAATCAAGATATATCAAATGTTTGGGGTTTTAGATCTGAAGCTCGTGATTGAAAAAGTACCCGGAATATAATCGAGCATATAAATGATATTGAGTCCAACCTCAACCGTTATTATTACCCAATACAAGGATTGTATAATCATAAATCCCAAACATAATATACATATTACATTTTTATTGACAACGCAATCATATCTAACTGTTCAATCTTCTTCAGGGCCACTGGACAAGAATCTCCGAGCCAGTTGGTGGCAGGCTATCCTACAAGCCCCCTATTTACGATATAAATGCTCCAGACTTATATATTCCATTTATGGCATTTGGTACCTATGTGGTTCTTGCCGGACTGACATTAGGTCTTCATGGGAAGTAAGTTCTTTCGTTATAAGTTAAATGTATTTGGAATCGTGTTAACTTAATCAAGTAGTTGAGATAACTTCTAGTGAAAATAATGTAAGCATTCTCGTTTATTGGTTGATAGGTTTAGCCCAGAAGCTCTAAACTGGCTGTTTGTGAAGGGGTTAGTGGGGTGGGCTTTTCAAGTAGCCCTACTGAAAATGACGTTATTCTCCCTGGGTAGTGGAGAGGCACCTCTGTTAGAAATCGTGGCGTACGCTGGCTATACATTCACGGGTTTATCTCTAGCTGTGCTGGGGAAACTATGTTGGGGCTACGCGTACTACTTTCTTCTGCCGTGGACATGCTTGTGCATGGGAATTTTCTTGGTGAAGACAATGAAGCGAGTTCTGTTTGCGGAAGTAAGGACTTACGATTCGAGCAGGCACCATTACCTGCTGCTCTTCATTGCCTTGGCTCAATTCCCACTCCTCATTTGGCTCGGCAATATTACTCTTAATTGGCTGTTTTGAAACTGTTTGGTCTATTTTCATTGATTTTTGTTGATAATCTAGTATGGGTTTACTAACAACATTTGAATCTAGGCAACGTGTATTTGCCGGGAGACGGACATCTTTGTTTGTACATGGAAATGAATGGTCAATAGTTGTTAAGAGGTTTATTTCCATACATAGTATTTGAGTGTTTGGGGAATGTGGTACTTGAATGTAAGAAAACTAGCAGGAAATTTATCAGGCGAAACTGGTAATGGTGTGAGCTGTAACGTAAATGTTCGATTGTTTGAAACTTGGCGTAGTTTTGAACTAGTATTTTTGTCTGAAATCTCATTCTGTTTTCTATATATCCTCCTGTAATCTGTATCCGTTTTCCCTTTGTAGAATTGTAGGTTCCTCTTGTATTTTTTAATTTTAATTTTCTTATTATTATAAGAAAAGGGAATAATTGAGAAGGCCCAAAATGATTGATTCGGGCCAATTAAATGGCCCATTAATGTAACCACTGGACACAATGCTGGTCAGAAAAAACCCACCAACATGTGTAAAGAATGTACAAAATTACCTTGAACCAACCCAATGTACCTTTCGCATTGTCAGATGTACATTTACTTCGTATCATCCAAATCAAATTTCCAATTTTTTTTCTTATATCCCAAAACGTAATCCTCCCTTATTAACAACTGCTCTCTCACTGATCGGATTGTTTGGAGATCCTCTACGATGGCATTGCACAGAATTGCACCACAATCACCGCATGCAAAACACCTTGGTCAATTTTCAGCATGGGGTTTACTTGGGTCTACGGCGGAGACTTGAGCAGAATGGCTTATACTATCCGCCGGAAACCATGCCACCGTCCGCGATTATGTACGACGAGGAGTTGATTACTGCTTCACTATGAATTTATAAAGGTAAAATGGAATTCGCAACTCATATTTTAATTTGTTCATTAATCCGAGTCAAGTTTCATCAGCTGAATCTCGCTCAATTTTGGTAGGTAGGTGGTTTACTTTTGATTAGGGCTGAAGAATTTAAATCTGAGTCTTAGATGAGTCTGGCAAGATTTATGCTAATGTTCAAACACCTAAATCTTCTACGAGAAATAATATTACTAACAGAAAGCTTCGATCGATGTTAGTATCAGAGCAATTTGTTGTCATTTGAAGCAGGGTACACGAGTTGAGGTTCGAGGAATTGCAAATCGGGTATGAATATGCATCTTCGCTCTTCCTTATACTTCGTATAATTAAATTGTTGTATAGAATAAAAGCATAAGGATGCTGTAAAATTAATTCACGGTGAAGTTCACCGGGTTGCCTAGTTCCCGATTTTCAAGGCACTTCGGAACCCCCGAAAGTACACGAACATGTTAGCTCTCACACATAGCATCCTACGCAAAAGCTTACAGAGCATCTTAGTGTAATAATAGTAAAAATGTCTTCCACTATAATCATGTTCGGAATTTATTATGGAAAAGATTTTACCAGTTATGGGATCGCTGTGTAATCATTCTATTGTTGCGTATGGAGATCATGGAAACAGCTTTGTAGGTAAATATATATATATATATATATATATATATATATATATATATATATATATATATATATATGAGAGCGAGACAGTATTACAATCGAAGACGGTTCTCTTTCACTTGGTAAGCGACAGAGAACAATCGACAACAAAAAAAAGGTTGCACTGATATCTGTTTGAGGTATTCCTCACAAATATCAAACACCTTGCAACAAACAACCATGTAGTGTGCATAAAGTACAAAACATGGAAAAAAAAGAAAAAAAGGACTGTAGTAGTAGCAGCTACGAACAGAAGATGTAATAAAAAAAAAAAAAAAAAACTGGCCGGAATATTAATACGTAACCGCAGGTAGTTGGGTGGTACTGCTTGCTGCTGCTAATTGCTCGTCTTGTTTGTCCTTCCCCCACTCATGCAGACACAGCTGTAGCTCCGCAGCAGCGATCAAGAAATGAACGGCCTGGATTGGAGACAAAATGTCGATAACACCCTTGAGCGTTTTCATCCTCAGTTCATCAGCACTCTGCAGAAGCATCTGGAAACCTTCCTCCTTCGGCTTCAAAACCGAGTTGACCAGGCTGCCTATATCCAAACTAGTACCTCCGACTGGGCGAGTTGACTCAGAGCTGGCGTCGTGACTCAGCCCAACCATCTCCTTGTCCGCCACCCTATCTTGCTGCTTGGCCTCCTTTTCGGTAATCTCTCTCTCCTCTTGTATTGTTCCTTTCTGGAAAATATCAATCCGGCCAAGCTGGTCCAGTGACAGGTCGCCCAAATCGCCGGTTTTTGCTCCGATTAGCATATTGGAAAACTGGGCCTGGAATTGTAAACCGGATTTGGAGTAGAGGAGGTGGAAGGCGGTGGTGGGACGCCACCCACCTACCCAGAGGAAAGCGTCCTCTAAGGGACTGTTCCATGGGGGTGAGAGTAGGAGATAAACGTCTGTTTTCGCCCATTTTGTTTTGATTCTGTAATACTCCTCATAGTGGGAAATCACACGTTCGACCAAACCGGACAAGGATGAATCGGATTGAGGTTGTTGGGGTTGGGTTTTGGATGCGTTGGTAAGTTCATAGAGGTGCTGGTTGTGCTTGTTTTGCCATTTGACGTAGAATTCTTGAAAGTTATTTTCTGATGTGGCTTCCATTTTGGTGTAGGAAAATAAGTGAGCTGCTTGTGTTGGTATTTAAGGTTTATTTTAAGGGCAAATGGATTGAGATTGATGACAACGTTCGAGATGGATTCGAGTTTCAAGTCCCGATGGTGGTCTGCCCATGAGGTTATTTCAGAACATATATTGCTATTATTAGATTTAATTTTTAAAATTTTTTTTTTCTGAGTAACTTTTGGGCAAGCGCTACTATGACTTGTCTTCGATAAGAAATTGTATACGCTGTGCTTATTGGATATATACTGAACAAACGTCTTACAAACTGTGCCGAATAATACTCCATTACTAAAAAAAAAAAAAAAACTTTTACATTACATACTCTCTCGTCACTGATGACTTTTTTTTGGGTAAGTTTTTGATAATTTGTCATTGATGACATTAGTTTTCGGTATAACATACTAAAAATAGTATTATTACCTAGGAAACAGGCAGTTATTGGACACGGGGCCTTCTGTCGGAGAGATCAGAAGATGTTGCCAAAGTTGCCTTCCTCTTGTTAGTAATACTGCAATTCTTATCAATTTCTCCTTCGCAACAGATGATGGAGTCTTGATTATCAATATCAAGTACTGTAGGAAAACTCTCACTGCAGGAATCCGTATTCATCACCAGATGGGAATGGAGTTTCCTCAAGTCTGATAGTTTCACCGGTTTCAACAAGAACTCTTCTGCTCCTCCTTCCAAACACCTGTTTAATTACATTCAAACCAAATTATTTACATCCCGATTATTTCGGAGGAAAATAATTGGGGTTTATTGCAATTTGTTATGCCGAATTGCTAAAAATTTACCCCATGTTATTTTATTGACAAAAACACCCCTATGCGCTATGATTCAAATTTTTTTAGTACACAACCCGGTAAATAGGGGTACTAATTGCTAAAAATATTAAATCATTGGAGAGTTTTGCCAATAAAATAACATGGGGTGGTTTGTAAGCAATTCAGTATAACACATGCAAGGGTAATAATTGCAATAAACTCAAAATAGTTGTATCAAAGTACTTAATTATGAAATTTAATCGGAATGGGACAAATTAAATGAAGGGAGATGAGAGTAGATTAATTACATACATGTTGATTCTTGATTGGACATTCTCTGAGGACATTACTACAACTGGGACGTCTTTCCAAGAAGAATCCTGCAGATTATATATGAAACAATTAATTACCATTAATTTTGAGGAAACAATTTAATTTAATTTGTGAAACATATATACATAAGATTGTTGCAATCTTAATGGAGCAGAAATTATAGGTAATAACCTTGATTCGTTTGAGCAAATCGTAGCCACTGATTCCTGGCATGCTATAATCTGTCATGATCAGGTTGACTTTTGATGATGCCTGCAACTTGTTCTAAATCAAAACACAATTAAGCTTGCTAATTAATTAATTAATTAATTACATTTTTACGTTATCTATAGCTAGTTTGTTTATTAATATTGTTGTAATCAATTTCAAATAAAATTGTGACTGATCTGTAATATATTAACTCATCAAATGTCAAAATGGAAATTACTGCAGCAATAAAAAATAAAATAAAGAAAGAAGGAAACAAGGGCAGCTTTAGGTTTTAAAAACCCTGATTTTTCTTTTTCTTTTTACCAACTTCAGCTTTTACTCGTTTGATTTTTTGGACTATTCCAAAAACCTTAAAACAAAAAAGGTTTTTTTTTTCTCTGCTATTTATGCTGTACGTACGTATGATCATAGTTTCTTACAATTATGCAATATTAATCTTGTATGTCTTAATTACTGGATGGGCCAAACATTTAAATAAATTAAGCATGAGTTAATTTGTAGTTAGTTACCTGTAATTGGGGAGATGATGATGAGTTAGAGGAAAATGCACAAGAATTAAGAATGGTAGTAGTAGTAGTAGTTGTGGATAATTGTGCTGCATCATCTCTTTCACATTCATTATTATTCTCTTCTTGTAACCCCAGATATTCCAGAGCCTTGTCTCCAGATTCCACACAAGTAACTGCATGCATCATCAATTTTTATTTATTTTAACATATATATATATATATAATAGTGTACATGGATTTTATAATAGAGTAATATGTAAAATATAAGATATACCTTGGTAAGAAGAAACGGTGAGGAGCCTCTCCAAAAGCTTTCTGTCAATATTACTGTCATCCACAGCCAATACATGAAAAATATGCTTCTCTTCTTCTTCTTCTTCTTCTTCTTCTTCTTCTTCTTCGTCATGTTGTTTACAGATTGTACAGTCATCAACTGCGGCCGAATTATCTGTCTCCATTTTTATTTATATATATTCAGAATCAGACCTAGCCGCTAGCTAATTCTTTTTTATAATTAATATATATTCAAGAATTGTATGTGTATTATATATTATATATTCCCAGCTTCATAAAATTCTTCCTGTGTTTGTATGTGATCGAGTGTGTGTGAAAAAAGTGTGTAGTGTGTGTTTCCGAGGATGTATATATATATGTATAGATGATATATATATATATGTGTGTGTGTGGGTGGGGGGGCGGTGGTGGTAGAGAGTGTGCAGGTTTTATTGAGTAGTTGAGAAGCAAAATCTGCGTGCGCGCAAAACAATCAGACAATGAACAATATTATTTTATTATTATTATGAACATGTAATGTAATGTACATATATAATACAGCACTATACATTATACGTATAGCCTAGCCTATAGGTACAGTAATGTATATAGATATAAGATAGATACAAGATGAGATGGTGTGTGATCTTTCTCACTAGATTCTCTTTTGGACACTTCTCTTGGTACAACTACTCAATGCTGCCATCCTCCACACTTGTGGGCCCCCACCTATCTTTCTCTTTTTTTCCCTTTTCTTTTTATTTTTTTTATTTTTTTACATCTTACTTTGAAAAATTACTTTTATTAAATAGAAAACTACTTTAGAAGATAAAATAATTTATGTAAATATTAATTTATTCTCAATTAGTTTATGTAAGTATTGAACATTGAACAACCGATTAATCGATCAGCTCGACTGATTTTTAGAACGCTCACTGCTCCTAGGAGACGAGTTGGACGAGATAAATTGAAACTTTAACAAATTCTTTTATATATAAAATAAATAATAGAACCTAAAGAGAGGTTAGAAGTGATTTTCAAGGAAGATGCCATTGTTGATTTTGTCTAAGTAATAGAATCAGATTAGATTTGATGGAAGATCCCCAATTCATGACTTTGAAAAGTGATTAACTACCAAAATTAAGCTATTACTTATATGTTTTATATACCGATATTGCCCTTCTCTTTTTTTCCTAACTAATTAATTCACAATAGCACTTTAATTCAAAGTACGTACCAGCTTTAACTGTTACTAAAATTGGGTGAGATTGTGTGTATCACAACTAATTAGTAGGAATTTATTAGATTTGTACAAAATTATTTATTACATTTATTAGGAATTACTCTTTAGTCCTTTTCATCTTTTGCTAAGTTTCAATTTCTCGTCAAAATTCTTATTAAAAATAAAAAATAAAATAAAAATAAAAATTGTAAAAGAAATTAGGACCACCAATGTAGAAATTGAGACCTTTGACTGTGAGGTCTTACACTTATGTTTGAACAACTTTTTTCTTATTGGTTGCCTATTTCTACCTCTTTTGTCCTATTAATATAGACTAGATTTCACAGTATGTGTGTACTATTCATAATTATTATTCATTTTGTACATATATAAATAAATTACATATGATGTCATATTTATTTAAAATAAAAATATAACTACAATTGTTCTCAAAATTTTTGGATTTTGAATTATTTCGAAAACCGAATCTTATTAGAAATCCGATTAGAAATCGGATTTTTCAATAAAAAAATTTTTTTGATATTGTAACGAAAAAAATAATTATAAAATTGGAATATTTCGGATCGAATCGATGGAATTTGAAGACGACATAGCGTGGATGGAGGATTGGATATGGAAGTCGAGAATGGATCTTTATGCAGTGACAAATGAAGAAAGGTACATGTGCAGGGACCCATTAGCAAATATTTAGTAAATCAGGGTGGGGTCATCTGAAAATATAGAAATCTTTTGTGGTCCCTTGTCTTGTGATGTAAAATCTGGAAAATTTAATGGGAATCTGTCGAAGGGGAGAAGGGGTGGGTTTGTAATTATCAAAAAGTTTCCCTCATGCAAAAGACACTGTCCAAAGTTTCTACTTTCATACTTTGTAGAAATACTATTTGGGACCCCAAACTTTTCTTGTCTGCCACGTGTTGACTCCTAATTGTTTAGGCTCCATCATGAGGCCGACAACACCACTGCCACCCAAATCCGCCGTGCGAGACGCTGGATTGTGCCACTTGTTCCACCCCATTTTTGTATAATAAATTACAATAATATTATTATTTATTACAATTTACACCCTATTAATTGTTCAATAGATATATGAAATTCAATCTATATATGTAGGCATTTAATAAAAACAATTAATGTAGGAAATCCTACACATATCTTATCCATCATTAGTATGATAGTATGGATGGATAGAAACCACAATACATTCTTTTGACCAAAATGCCCTTGGTGTCGAGTTCGTATTTTCATGAGCTATTTGTGCATGTATTTTTGCACGAGTACATGAGGGCATGATTTTGTTCCTATATTTTTGTGCATGTTTTTCGTGACGTATTCGTGTGCTAGTACTGCAGTACGTGTTTTCTTGCGCAATTTAGTACATGCTGATGCACTATGTTGTTATAATTATTTTTTTCCTATTTTGAAAAAAATTCAAATCCTATTTATGAAATGACAAATCACAATAAATACAAGATACAAATGATTCTTGGAGGAAGCGTGAAAAATTCTTAGATAAATTTTTGTCTTTAAAAGTGATTGATTTCACATTGTACATAGACAATAAAAATCAATGCATGCAATTTGAGAAATCATTGTGACAATCCAATAAATATTTTGTGCGTGTGATCTTTACATTAAAGCAAAGCGTGTTGTTTACTCTTTTGTGTTTTCCATAATCTTGGGTTGACTTTTGTAATGTGGATTTTGATTAGTTAAAATCTTGACTTAAAGAGGCAAATGAAAATATAAAATAATAATGGGGGCCATATTACCAAATTAGAGGATCTTCTTATTGACCAATCCAACCTTTTTTCCTTTTCCCCTTTTTTTAAATTAAATAAATCAGGTCTTTAGAGAATCACATATGAGAAAATTATGGCTAGTGGGTTTCAATATAGATTATTGCTCTTTAGGCTTTTGTTAATACCTTGTTGAACAATTCATATGTTTGCTTTTTGTGACAATGACACATTTCTTTTCTTCCTTTTTTTATTTTAAAAGTAAAATAATCGATATATAATATTTTTTGGAATATATATCATTTAATTATATAGTGGGTCATTTTTAAATAAATTATTTTATGGCTATATTAATTGTCTCAGTTTTTGAATTCAAAATAAACTTAAATTCATACTTTGAATTCAAAATAAACTTTAAATTCATAATTGTCTCCGGAAGTATTTCTTTTCTTTTTTTATTGGAAAAAATACACTTTACGTCCCTTAAGTTATTCTTCCTCATTGCTCACCAAACAAAATAAAAATAATAATCCCTCGTATTTTAAAAAATAAACATTTTTTGTCATTTCCGTCAATTTTCTATTAATACCCTAGCGGAATAAAACATGTTGTCCATCACTATCTTAACTGGAAGACTAACGGTAAAACGACAAAAATAATATAAAATATTAAATTAGTGAAATATGAGGACTAAATCTATTTTTCTTGAACATAGAGGACTAAATGTGAAATCGAGGTAAACTTGATGGACTAAAAGTTCAATTGTTCCCTTTTTTGGTCACTTTTAATCATTTCCGGTTAACTGAGGCCCGTGCAGAAATCAAACTGTTTCTTAGCAAAAGCCCAAAATTGGTTTTCCCTTGTACAGAGCAACAATTATTTTCAGGCCCAAATACATCTGTCTGAATCAGTTAATTAGGCCCAAAAAAAAATTCAGGTGAGACATCACCTACTTTTCCCTCTCTACGGTTTTTATACAGTTTCAACTATGGTCGTTATTATCATTGTTCAAATATAAGAACCGCATGTAGACCACTATATATTTCTAGTTCAATTACACAATTGAATTTTCTTAATATTTGTGTAACTTTATCTTCATTAATTCAATTTTGGCAGCCAAACGAGGCATTAGTATAAGCATATAACCCTTTCTTGATGAAAATACTAATTAAAAAAAATTAAAAAAATAAAATCATGACCTGCATTTTACAGCATTTGCCATGAAAAAAAAAAACAGAAAATTATAAATACTCTAAATAATTCACCTTCTCACATCAAATAACTAGGTTTATTAATTTTCCATTAAATTTACCTTAATCTCTCTAGCTATGCGCATCTATAATCTTGATCATGAATCGATAATCATACTACGGTCATTTAGATATCTCTCAGCAATGGCTGCATGAGTAGCTGCCCCTACCGCAAGGGCATTTTCGTCAATCACAAAAAGCGGCGAATGAGGCGAGTGCACCGATCCAAGTGTCTCGTTTTTTATCCCGATGAAGAAAAATGTTGCCGGAATCATTTCGGAGTAAAACGAGAAGTCCTCAGATCCCATCACCTGTTCGACCACCCGAAAATTTGTGGGCCCCAGCAAATCAACTGCCACCTTTTTCACATGTTCGTACATCTTCTCATCGTTGACCAACGGTGGGTAAATTGTGTCAGCATCCTTAAAAAAGTCAACCGTTGCCGAGCATCTATAAACCCTAGCTTGACCTACAATTACCTGTTATATATGATGATCAATTAAGATTCTCTCATAAACCTTAATAATGGTACAAATCAAATCAAACACTTTGGTTTTATTGCACTCGGCATCCCTGTATTTTCTCTAATTTTTAAAAACAGTACGCCGTATTATTTTAATTCGCAAAAACCCCTATGATTCAACTTGGTAGCATACTAC